AAAAACTTGCGGCACACATAATTATACGAGACTTTTTGCACCTAAGAAAAAGAGCTTGTTCAAAAGTTGAAATTATCTCTCGTTGAGGTAAGAAGAAAATATTTTCGCCTATTATTATTTTTCAAACTTCTTAAGATCTTTCACCGCTTTCAAAGTTAACACTAGAACGCCCGTAGCGATCATTTTGACCGGTTTTTGATTTTTATCCTTAATAAAACAAACTGCATACAATTTATTTAAAAATAAATTATGTCATAACTTTTAAGTTGTCTCATAAAAATTATTTTTTGCAGAATTTTTAATTCATTTTTGAATTCAGAACCATTTTTAATTATAAAATTAAAAAACAACAACAGTAACGGTCAAAATGACCGCTTTGGGCGTTCTAGGTCATGAAAATTTCTGGGCATTCTAGTGTTAAATGTCATTAGTATGAGTAGATAGGAACATCTGCTCGATTAGCTCAACATTCACAATAGGCTGAGATTCCTTCTTCTTGAACAGAAATGATTCTCCAATCATTTTTTCATAAGACTGCTCGAATCTGGAATTTTCCTTATTCGAAATAATTGTTACATCGTCTATAATAAAATAGTTTTAAATGGAAATTACGTCAACATCACAAACTCTAAACATCTTCATGATGGGTGGGAATGTTTTATAAGTGTTTTAACACTTTTATTGCTTTCCCAGTAATTGGACTTTGATGTATATGTTAAGGTTATGTTTTTATGTCAAATGTATTGTTTCAAATTGTAACAGAAATCAACATCAATCAATCAATCAAGAAAATATTTTTTTGATCTAACGATAATATAAAGTTTTTTAATATACTATTTTGTAGAAAAGCTATAATTCTATGTTATTGGAAATTTTTTATAACTAATATTGTCGAAAACAAAAATTCTTTTTAAATCACACTTCGTTTTTAACTGATACAGGTCTAGTTCTGGAGCAAAATGAGAAATTCTTCTCGGTTTATCTAACTGCATGTTGTTACAACATCGAGAGAATTAATTCTACCGCGTTTTATCGACCTACTACGATAAATAAAGATCATTTTTTTATCACAATAAAGTTCCTCATCATTGCGATATATAAGGATATTTGACACAATATTTCGTCAATTCTTGGCAAAAAGAAATAGCAGAGTTTTACCTAGTCCGTCCTCTCGTTACATCAAATTTTCTTTTATCTACTACGCTCAGAAAAGCAAATTACTTGAAAAAGTCGGGAAAATATCTAAAAAGTCATTAATTATCCAAATAAGCATGACGGAATCACATCTTTTCCCCGTCTCGTCCACTTTTCTCTGAGTAAAGGGCAGGGGAATTCATAGAACTCTATATTGATAAAATTTCAAGTTTAGCAGAAAGAATTTCAGAAAATAAATATCAAACTTTTTCTTAAATTCGAGAATTCAAAAATTCAGAAATTGGAATCATCTTTTTCCAAATTGAGGAATATTCAAAAATTGAGAAATAAACATCATACTTTTTCTTAATTCATGAATTCAGAAATTCAACAATTGAGAGACACATTTTATTTTTTTCAATTCAAAGAATACAAAAATTGAAAATGTGATTTTCTATCAATTTCTTGAATTCGAAAAAAGTCAAAAATTCTTTGAATTTGTATCTAGTTGGTTTGAACAATTCTTAGAATTCAAGAATTGAAAGAATACATGTTTTTAATTTCAAAAGATGACAAATCCACAAATTAGTTGGAGTAGAGTGGACTTCTTCAAGTTTCGATAGTTTCACAACAAACATTGTGAATTTCACTTCGTTATAGTTTGTAACGCAAGGAGTTTCGAGATCTTTTGAAGGAATTCTGAAACTGGTTCACCTAAGCGGAACTTTAGATATGGTGTTTTGAATTAGACTGGTAAATACGGCATTACTTCTGCATCATGCTGCCTTCAAAGGTTTTTAATGGCAAAACTATGGTGTTTCTAAAGCTGACACTATTAATTTTTTTGTTTTTTTTAATATTTTTCTAGATAACTAAAGAGTACGAAACATGTCGTTAACTCGAATACTACCGTTTTGGAATCGTTTTCTTCAGAACTATTTTACACATTATTTGGATTTTTGGATTTAATATTTCGTTATACTATTCGTTTCAGGGCTGGGCAGCTCCGACAGCCGGTTCCTATGACTGTAAAGGTTATGGTGATTTATAATGAGCTAGAAACAAGTTGAAATTAACTTCATTCGATGCAGAAATGTTTTCTCTATCAACTAGGACTCGGAGCCGTTATCCGGAGCTGGTGGATAAAACGTACCGACTCCGAGCTTTTTCTACTTTAGGAAATTTCGACGACTAATAAAAATCAAACCATCAGACTAGTTGATAGAGAAAACATTTCTGCATCGAATGAAATTAATTTCAACTTGTTTCTGGCTCATTATAAATCACCATGACTTTTACAGTCATCGGAGCCGGCTGCCCAGCTCTGGTTCGTTTCAAAGATTAAACAGTAGATTTGAGTCAATTCTACAACAAGTGAACAGCCATTTATTTATCGATCACACTATCAAAAAATTATCTTTCAATAATAAATTAAATTTAAATAAAGTTGTTTCATTAATAATTGATCATAATCAAATTCAAATGTTTCTTCACTACTCCCTATATCGATCTGAATCGTTTCGAAATCTTCGCTCAATTACATTAACAAATTTACATCCAGTTGAACTTCGATATGCAGCTAGACACTTATCTTCTTTACCGTTTTTAATATCGTTAAAAATCATGTTGGTTCCTTCACCCGCTATATTTCCTTGCATGCATGATAAAATTCATCATATATTTAGTTTAACTAAATTAAAATCACTGAAATTATTCTGAGCATCATACTTCTTCAGTAACCGCGTTACTAGTGTCAAAAAAATCTAGAATATTTAGAAACCAATTATTTGCTTGTTAATCATTTTTTATTTGATGTACTAACGTCGATAATAAATGTTAAATAATTGACAACTGCGCTCTGGAACGAGACAAAGACGATAGATCATTAACTTCAAATCTATTTGATTCCAACATCTATTGTTTTACCATATTTATTTGAAATAAATTTAAATATTTGTGAAAGTGTCTAATTTGAACAAACACAAATAATACTACAGAAATGAGGCCAAAATTTAAAAAAATTAATGATTAGAATTGTTTCTACACCGTATCTGAAAGCAAATGAATGAGAATTATTATTGTCGTCAACATGTCTCTTAAACTTAAAACAATTCATATTGAATTTTTATATTTATCCAGAATTCAACTCTTCGGATACAGCTATTATGGCTAAACTTGTAAAAGGAATATTCAATACTAAGTAATGGGTGTCTCAGAAATAATGGCGCCCTTTTAATTTGCAGTTATCTCTTTCAGTTTTTGAGCTAGCGACCTAATTGTTTTTTTCAGAAGATGCGACTTGAAATTCCCTACAAAATCATACTCAAACTATAATTTCAGAACTTCAATCAAGATAACTAAACCAATTAGATGAAAGTCTAAAAAAATGAAAAACTTTCCAAACTCAAAAATGATTTCTTGCGTTAACGTTTTGAAAATAAGAAAAACTGAATTAGCCGTTTTGTAGCCCTAATCTTTTAGCTACACTTCAAATTTTTTCACATCAAAAGCCACGGTGAAATAATAGTTTTTATGTCGGTTGTCATGTTTTTTTTCATTAATTTTTTAAATTTTACGTATAGTAGTGCTTTCAGTAAAAGTCCCATAACTCCATCAAAATAAAAGCTTTTTCGATCGGGTTTGTTTTTTTTTATTAGAAATTATTACTCTTCTCTATCTAACTGCAAAACCAAAACTTCAATCTTGTTTTCTGTGTCTTGCTTGAGGACATTGTTAGAAACGGGGAGATTGTCAACTTTTGATGCATTTTTGTAAGTTGTATTTGTTGTAAGTGTCCTGGAGCACATTAATTCTTCCTCTGTTTTTCGAGCAGCATATCCATACACTTTTTATAGTAATCCTAAACTGGTGTCTAATGCAATATCGTTTGATAAGTGAATCTCATCATTTTCTTTTTGAAATTAATTAATGAATAAATGAAATTATTACTAATTGCGTTATGTGTGTTGATTTGAGTTTTCTCTTAAAATTGAAATTTGAATATAATTTTACAAATATATTAACATCGCTACAGCAATTATGTTCAATTAAAATTTTTTATCAGTTTGCCATTGATTTAATCACCGAGTTTAGTTGTGCATATCTTATTATCACTGATATTTGTCAATTTAACAAGGATGTAATGTTTCTGTTTTCCTTCTATCGTTCGTTACGATTCATTTATTATGCTTTTCAAATTTTAAATGGAAAAAAATATCCTATTGCAAACTTTTTAGTAAAAAATCAACATAGTCTAATATCCAGATCTACATGCAGGCAAAAAAGCCTCTTTAAATAATTTAAAAAAAAATATGACTGCATAAACGCATACTGAACTATAAAAGAAAAGGTGTCTTCTTTTTTTGATTATAAGGGAAGAAAGCAACCGGCGCACACGCAAATATACTAAGTTGAGCAATTCACCGTTAAGAAGTAAACAAATGTGTAGACACACACACGTACAAGATAAAAACAAAGAGTTCATTCTCTTTTTTTGTCTATAAATATCTCTTGCACAGAAAAATAAAAGTTTCAATCATTATAAAAAGAAAACAGCTTAGAAAAACAATAGCAGTAAATATACCTCAAAAAAAAAAAACTGAAAGTAAATCAAATCTAATTAAAGTAAGTAAGACGGAAAACTATTTTTTAAAATAAAAACTCTAATCTAAATCGAAAGAATCACAAAAATAACTCATCTTTCGATTCTGTTCTATTCCTGCTCTGTACCGAAAACACTTTATTTATTTAGAAAAACGATATATTTTTTCCACTTCCGACACGTCGGACATGAGCTATTCAGTTGTGCCTATCCTACGTTTTGTTCTAGATAAATTTTTAGTTTGAAACCAGTGTAAAAAGGGATTTTATTGATTATGTTTTGGCAACAATGTTGCTGGCCTGGTTGTGGTTGATATTCCTAATAGACTTGTTAATTGTGGTGTTTGTGTAGAATGCGCTGGTTCATTCATTGAAGAAGTTTTATATTTTGGAAAAGCGAGACCAAATCGTGCTTCAATACCTTCAAAAGTGGCTAAGGCTAAATGAAATCCACCAACGTGATCAGGATTTGTTGATGATAATATTGTACGTGACATTGTTTGTTGTTTATCTCTTCCAGCTCCAGCCGTTTGTGAACCTTGGGGTTTCCGTCCATGAAAATCCACATTCAAAAATCGTTGTAATAGTTCATAGGTTAACAATGTAAAACCAAATTGAGGTGATGATCGAAACATTCGTGCACCAGAGCCTTAAAAATAGAAAATTAGTTGAAAATTTAGAATTTACTCACAATAACGTCTACCTTTCCAAAATGCCGTCCAGCCTTCTTCTCGAAAGATCTTAATGGCTGCATCTGTCACACCCAAATATGCTGTTTGACCTTTTCGTGCCACAACTTGTAAACGTGTTTTGATAACATCAGCTGGCGTGCATAGACCGGCAGCTGGAATACCAGCTAAGAGTCCGGATAAAAATAATGATTTTGGATCATTGTAACCATGTTCATTAGCCATGCTTTTTTTTGTATGCGCATAGACAGGAAAATAAATGGCTGAAAATGGTATATCACGTAGAAAACATGCTTTAGCACCTTTATATAAACCCAAAAAGCCCAATTCACGAACAACTTGAATGGCCGATGGACGAGGAGCAGTCTGAATTTCACCCGCTACTTGCAAACGAATCTTAACAATTTCTAATGGATTTGTGAATGTTACCTAAAACAGAATAATTTCTATAGTAAATATTTTGACTAACAATACAAGCAAAATGCTTACTTGTGACGCCCCAGCACATCCACCAGCAACAACTTCACACCATACTGGTATTGTACCATCTTTTTCTGTTAAACGATCACGAATAAAATCATTCACTAGACAAAAAAAAACGAAAGTTTTATTTAGTAAATAATGAAATATCTAAATTGTTTAGCATTACTTGTTAGTTTTATGGCTTTTTCTGGTGCAACTCCAACAAGTTGTGGTACCAATCCTCGATATAACCCAAACACTCCTTCATGTCTTACAACCTTTTTAAAACAATCTAATGAACTACGATACATTCTTTCGCCTACAATACTTCCTGAACGTTGATTTTGCATACGAGTTTTAACCTCAATACATAAACAAAAACATTAAATATTAATAGAAAAAAACAAACAAATTGACATTTGAAAAACTTACTAAATCAATGGGATAGACGGCTGTTGCACCCACAGCACCGGCAATCGAACCTAAATAAAGAAATATTCTAAATGGTTTTTTTTAAAATCATTATTCATATCTCATTTACCTAATGCAAATCGATATCCCGATTCTAATACTTTCATTCCAATGCCTTGTCGTTCAATTTGATATTGTTCATCAATAATTTGTGTCTTAATTCGATACGGCATTTGACGTTCATTTTGACTAATTAAATCAAAATCTTTTAATGTTATTTCAACTTTATCTTTTTTTAAATCTCCAACACCTTGTTGATATAATAATTGAATAATAGAAAATAAAATATCACATTGTAACGGTGTTGTTCGTGGAAAATGTTGTGCTTCATTTAAAAATTCTTGTTTTGAAATAGCTATTTGTTGTTTAAAATGTGCCGAATGTTTAAGACATGCTTGTAAATAAATTTTTTTCATTAATTCTAAATTATTTAATAATTGTAAAAATGCCATAAAATAGGGAAATGTAATATGAGTACTATTGTCTAAATTATAATTTGTTATTTTAACAATGTCATATAAATGTTCAGTAATAAAATCGGTTAATTGATATTGACGTAATTCTTTTAAAATATAATCAAAATTTTTCAATGTAATATAGCCCTGATTCGATTTATCCATAGTTTTAAACGCTTGAATTGTTTGTTCATCAATAAAATCTAAATACAATAATCAACTGAATAGAATAGATGTATTATGTTATTATTTCCAATTTTCATTATTTCAATAATAATAATAAAAATTCTTTATTTTTATTTACCTAATAGAATTTGTGTAAAATCTTTATAATTAATTTGTCGTTGTCGTTTAGCACCAAAATGTAATGTGATAAATTCACTATCAAAATTGAACGGAAATTTTTTATAAAAAGCCGTTGATGTAATAATATCTTGAAATGATTCAAATGTAATTAAACCTTGTCCAGTTTTGTCAAACAGTTGAAAAGCAAGACGATAAAGAGAATCAGAGGCCAATAGTAATGATTCAAATTGTTGAAATTCTGTAAATGTTATCTTTTGATCTTTGTTTAAATCAACTAATGATGAAAGAATATCTAAAGTTTTTGTTTCAATATTATCACCCTTTAAATAACATAAATAATCTTGTAAAAATTCATGCGGTGTCATATAATTTTCGTTCTGATAAATATGATGTGCATATTTATCAAAAATAGTGCGTAATTCAGTTCGATCAGCTGAAGATATTGAAACAAGCGCTAGAAATGAAACAAAAAAACAAAAAAGGATAAAAAAATTCTCTATAATTCTCTATTATACACTTACATCCAGCATGATCGTCATGTGGCGGTGTTACTGTTGCAATTTCTTTCGCATGAACTTTCATCATTCTCATTGTATTCACTGTTATTTAGTTTTTCTTACTAATCAATGAATGAAAAACATTGACGATATAAAGAAATAATAACACAATGCTAATGATGGCCAACAAAATATGATCTAAAAATAGATACGATATTAGACAATTTTGTGAATAATACACTATTCAAGCGAGTAAGCATTTTAGTAATAAAAAAATATCTAGAGTAACCGAAATTTTTTAACACAAATAAGAATAGCACAAGCGCAAGAAAACACAGAATGAGAATAAAAGTTCTCTTTCATTCTTTCATTCTTTGTTTGTTCTAAATTAAGATTGTTGAATCACAATTTAACCCTCTGACACTCAGTGGGAAGCATACTTCCCACCTCGAGAATTTTCAAATCTTCGAGTTTTTGCGAATCTTAGAGAAATATTTTCAATAAATGTTAGAAGCTAGCAGAGGTCCGTACAAGACTGCACGGATAATAGGGTATATGGAGGACGTTGAAAAATGCACCATGCCAAGTTTCTTTAGTCTAAAAAAGTTTTAACCGCAGTTTTGAACCGCTGGGTCATTCTATCAAAAACGTTTTTTAAAGAACCCAAACAACTTTAAAAAAATCAACTATATGTTTGAAATGTTTGCTCTACCAAATGCATTTGTTAAAA